TCAGTTGGAACAGCTTACAGAAACTCACAGAGGACACACACTCAATCTAGCTACTGGCCATGGAAAATGATCTGGAAAGTTAAGGTGCCCTTCAAGGTGGCCTGTTTTACTTGGCTCTTAGCAAAACAGGTTGTTCTCACGCAGGATAATCGTATGAAGAAGGGCCTCGATTTGTGCTCCAAATGTTTTTTTTGTGAATGTGAGACAGAGACAATAAATCATCTCTTTTTACACTGTAAGGAGACAGTGAAACTTTGGCAAATTTTCATCAACAAAAGGGGCATCAGTTGGTCTATGCCAGGAAACATAAAGGAAGCTTTGGCATGTTGGAATCGGGATGGAAATCAGTCGGGGCACAGGGAGAGATGGAAGATTGTCCCAGCCTGCATTTGGTGGACTATTTGGCTGGAAAGGAATCAAAGATGTTTTGAGAACAAGAGCTGCTCTATGGAGAAGATGAAGCTGAAATGTTTAGCTCTTTTCTATTTTTGGTGTAAACATGAATATCCTCATGAAGATGAGGATATCACTAGTATGTTAGAGTCCTTAAGGAGTTCATAGGAAAACAGCAACACTTTTGTATTTCTGATTGTAAGTATTACTGGAATACATCCTGAGTATTCCTGTGTTTATAATACAAGTTACCTTTTAAAAAAAAAAAGACAATTGTCTCCGAGCAATATTATATTATCTTAAATCATAATCAACCTTTATTATTAACCATTTTGTAGAGGCACTTCTCTCATATTGTATTGTAAAATAAGATAATAATATTTTTAAGTTATTTGATAATTTTATTTATAAAATTTATGTTCTTCAATTTTTTATTAGGTACATTGTGTTGCAAACTAAAATAATAGTTAGGTATTTATTGGTTTAACATGATCTAAACACATTCAAATAAGTAAACTCACAATTATAATTTAATTTAATAATGTTTACACATCGCAGGGTACTATACTAGTGTTGTTAATAATGGATGCAATGACTCGCTTAAATAATCATCTGAAAATCGATTATATATTATTTTGAAAAAATTGTTTTTCCAATTTATGGAAATTAATACTATATAAAAGGAAATTGTGTTATGTTAAGTTCTACCTAAACATCACACAAAAAAACTATTTTACTAGGAATTACGTTGATTATAGTATTTGAAAATTTTGTTTTCCCAACTTATAGAAAATTAATATAAAGGAAAAGATGACATAACTACCTAATAGGAAATTGTCCAAAACTGTTTCCTTAAAATTAACAAAGTTTGTCCTACTTGGGGTTCTTGGCTATTTTAACTCTTGAAATTATTTTGGTTAACTAACATAATTTATTAAAAAAGGAATTTTCAATATTTTGAGACTTTTGACGTACTAATAAGTAATAAAGAAAAAAAAAACGGAAAACTTTAGAGATTCTTGTCTTTTTTTTTTTTTTAAAGAAGTACTTGAGAATTATATTTTCCAAAAGTACTATGCGTGTTTCCTTAAATTCTATTCTTGACAACTAACTACTCCTATAAAAAGCCTCATAAACTCATTCGTTCAAATCACTAGTATTCAGGTTCAGAGGTCTTAATTATTTTGAAAAAGTATAGCTATGACTTTCTTCGGAAAAGCAATGTTGGTCGTGTTGATGGTGATGATGGCTGCTTCGGGATCCTCCATGGCTACTGTTTATCAAGTTGGTGATCTTGCAGGGTGGACATTCAACTACAATTACAATGAATGGGTTTTTTTCAAGCAATTTCAAGCTGGTGATACCCTAGGTAAAATATCTTAGTTATCATCTTGGCTACCTTAATAGAAATATAGTAAAATTGGAATATATGTAGTACTAAAACTATGTATAACTTTAAATAGCATCGAAGTGAGTTTTAATATAATGTTAAAAGTAAGAAGGTAGTCAAATAAAATAGTGAATGTTACATGTTACATTGTCAACTAAGACACATAAATCAAACTAGTTTCATATTGAGCTTTGTTTTTTGCAACTACAAAAATGCATACATTGTTGAATTGTATAACCAAATTTTTAATCGCCAACACATTTATTAATTCATGTGTTTATTGAGATGCAAAGTCAAGATTATAAATTTTTAAATCTAAACTTGAGTTCTTACTAAACTACTTAGACATATCGAGTAATAAATTATTGAGTTATGTCAAACTCTGATCGGTCTTTTTATGCAGTTTTCAACTACGATCCACAATTGCACAACGTGATGCAAGTTGACATCAACGACTACAACTCATGCACTAGTAATCCAATTGCCACATTCAACTCTGGTTGTGATTCAATCACCCTTGACACTCCTGATGGAGACTACTTCTTCTTGTGTGGTATTCCTGGTCATTGTGCATCTGGACTAAAAATACACATTAAAGTTAGTCCAACTACAACAACAACAACTCCTCCTCCTCCTACGACAACAAATACTCCATCAACTCTTCCTCCTCCTCCTCCTCCTACGACGATGAATAATCGTTATCCTTATCGTTTTCCTACTTCTTCAAGAAATCACTCTTCTGCAAGCACTACTGCTTATTCATTCAACATGTTATTTTCATTGTTTCTTCTACCCATGGTTTAGACATTACACTGCAAGGTTTCACATAGTTTTTTTTTTGTTTTTCTTAATTAGGTTTATTTTTGTTTGGAATGGATCTTTCTTTTGTCCATTTGATTTGGAAGTTCATTTAGTATTGATTTTGTAAGTGGTTGTTTTACCAATAATATTAGATTATGATCTATAGTTAGTTATACTATGGTTACTACTTTCTCTATTTCATATTAACTAAACTTTTTACATTTTTTTCATTGTTTAAAATAATTTAATTGTTCAAAATTCAAGATGGATGTTTGAAATTTTTTTCATATTTTTCCTTTCATTTGTTGAAGTTTTATATTTTCTAGGAGATAAATTACACTACTTATAAAGTTATATTTATGATTTCACAATGAACAATAGTGAAAATTATGTCCTTGAATATTTTTCTTAATATGTGTGCATTACATAACAAATTCAATTAAGATGGACTATAGGAAATAGTATTTTGTATTTATTTAATGACCTAATTAAGATATTGGCATTACTTCATTAACTAATTGGCTAATGTCAAGTAGGGGTGTTCAAAATCTTGCAGAAATAACAAGAGGATCTTTACTGTTAGATATACTTATGGCAATACCTTGACTGATCTAAATAGAATCACTAATGTTATTGTTGATTACTACACTAAACTATTGGGCACCTCTAATAGTAACAGAGGACATGTTTATTAAAACACCGTGAACACAATTTTTAGCGATAATAAAATATACATATTAATAAAGAGTCCTAAAGTCTTTACTTACATTAGTTAAGTGCCATTAGATTCAATATCGCTAAAGGCTTAGCGACATATACAAAGAGTGCTAATTGCCGCTAAAATACATACTTAATGGCAATAAAACTATTGTCATTAATTAATTACCGCTAAAAATTATTTTTGATCTAATGTCAAACTCTTAATTTGCACGATTATTAAATTCGTATCACTAGTCAGAAAGTAGAGTCACATACAAAGATGAACTACACAATGAAAACCACAATCTATGATAGCGTAGATGTTAAGTAACTTGGGAGAGTTGGAAAAATAGCCACTTTTAAAACTTATTAGGACATTTAGTCACAAGTTTTGAAAAATTAGGTCTATAGACACTAATTATGACATCATCAAATATTCTTTCAAAGGATACAAGACCAACTCCCAAGTCTTTAATATTACACTTTAGTTCCCCACCTCTTCCAACAAATGTTTATTTTTTCCTACCATTTATTTTTAGATTTATAAAATAATAAAAAAAATTTGTTCAAGAAGCCATTAAAAAAAAGGTTCCGTTTTTCACCTACTTTTTCCGATGCCAGCGACTTCTCCAGCGAAATTTTCCTCCTCACAACTGAAAATCTCCATTCAGGCTCATTGCTTCCATTGTTATCCCATTTATTTTTAATTTTTGTAACAAAAAAAGTTCACTATTTTTACTAGCTTGAAAAACTTTCAAATTCCCACTCAATACCTCATTAGTAGATAGATTGTCGTAGTTTAGAAGTCCTACAAATACAGTTCTTCGTTCCAGTGCTAGCAGAGCATTGATTAGTGATTACACCCGATTTAGTTTATTGATATTTTTATTTGCAGATTTTCATATCAGTCATCAGTCAGTCATCGATCAGATATAGATCTACATTGTAATCTAGGATCGATCAATTTTGTCTATAATGATAGCAGCTGAAGTAATTATTGTTGGTGGTGATTATATGAGTGTGTGGGAGGAGACTCCCAAATATTGGAATTGAAAATCATCTAGTAGAGTGATAGTGGTCATCCCCTTTTGTCACAATAATTCATGCACAACATGGTTCAAACTCTCACATTCATAAAAAATGACAAACAAGTGTTCATGTACACGTTGGATGTCGTTGTCGATAGATTTAAGCCTATATTGGAAAGTTGTAACTGTTTTAATTTCTGATTAACTGGGAGTACCTAGAATAATAGAATATGCCCACATGGTATATAGGCTAAAAATAAATAACTAATCCTAAAATATAGGTCATGTAACCTACTACAACACTTAATCAACAACATTAATAAAACTTGATCAAATATAGGAAACTACTTAACAAAAATCAAAAGACTAGTTCTACTAAACTACCCATGTCCCAATTCAGTCAATCATTTTGAATCACTCTTTAACATTCCCTCTTGATTCAAAACTACAGACATTAAACAATCCTCTAAAATAACAGAATATCTCCTTTGATAAAGTCTTCATCAATACATCAGTCAACTGCTCTTGTTTGTTGCAATATTCCAACAATATTTCCTCCTAGCTACCAAATCACGAATAAAATGGTAATGAATATCAATATGCTTTGTCCTGCTGTGGAATGTTGGGTTCTTTGTCATGGAGATAGTTGATTTCTTGTCGCAAAATATCTATGTTGCTCCTCTCTGCTCCTATTGAAGATTTGCCAACACTCTCCTTAGCCAGACGGCTTGACAAGCTATTGAAGTTGTTGCAATGTACTCAGCTTCTAAAGTTGATAATGATGATGTAGCTTGCTTCTTTGAACTCCAAGTCACCACACATGAACCTAGAGTGAAAACATTTGTCGAAACACTCTATCTATCATTCAATAAACTTGTCCAATCACTATTTGTATACCCGCACAATCTGAAATTATTAGTATTAGAGTATCAAATACTAAAGTTCAAAGTTCCAGCAATGTACCACAAGACTCTCTTTGTTGCTCCATAATGTACCTTTGAAGGTTGTTGCATAAACCAGGAAAAAACACCAATAGGATATGCAATATCAGGTCTAGTATGTGTCAAATATATTACACCTCCAACCAAGCTTCTGAACCTCCTTGCATCTGTCAACTCTTCTTCATTTACCTGCTGCAATTTCTCACTGATATTCATTGGTGTAGCCGCAAGCTTGCAATTAATCATGCTAAATTTATTGTGTAGGTATCTAGCATATTTCCTTTGTGAAAGAAATATTCCCTCTTCGGTCTGATGGACTTGAAGGCCAAGAAAGTAATTTAATAAGCCCATATTTGACATCTCAAACTCATTCATCATTTGAGACTTGAATTCATCTAGAAGAAAACGTGAAGAACTAGTGTAAATTATATCATCAACATAAAGACATACAATAATGAAATCATTACCTTCCTTCTTCACATATAAGGTGGGTTCATTCTTACTTCTCATGTATCCATTTTTCTGGAAGTATCCATCAATCTTACTATACCATGCTCGGGGGGCTTATTTCAAGCTATACAACGCCTTTTTCAGCTTGTACACCTTTATTTCATCGCCTTCCTTTGTGAAACCTTCAGGTTGTGTGACATAGACTTCTTCTTGTAAGTCTCCATTGAGGAATGCCGACTTGACATCAATTTGATAAATTGTCCATTGTAACGGTGCAACCATTGCTAGAACCAGCCTCACTGTCTCAAAACGAGATACCAGAGAAAACGTTTCTTTAAAATCAACACCATATTATTGTGCATATCATTTTGCCACAAGACGAGCTTTGTGCTTTTGTAGGCTACCATCAGTTGCAAACTTTGTTCTGAACACCTACTTCAAGCCAATTGCATTTTTCTGTTTTGTAACTCCATCATTTCCCATGTTCCATTCTTTTCGATGGATTTCATTTCTTCCACCATTGCTTTCTTCCGTTCTTCTTTTCCAACAGCTTCTTTCTAATTCATGGAATCTGAAACAATAAGAGAAAAGGTTATTAACATACTTGGGATTTGGATTTTTAGCACTTGTTGATCTTTTTAATGGAATAATCTCATTTGAAGACTCTTCGTGAGTTGCTGCAATTGGCGAGCTTTGTGACACCACGGAAGAACCTGAAAGAGTACTTGTAGGGGTTGACTCTTTTCCTTCAACTTCAGTGATTTACAGAGGCTTAAGAATCTCTTGTGGCACCAGCTTTTTACTCCAATCCCAACTTGCATTTTCATCAAATATTACATCTCTTCTGACTGAGATCTTGCCATTAAAAGGATTATACCGTCTATATACTTTGGAGTGAGTAGCCAACAAAAATGCATTTTTTAGATTTTTCATCAAGCTTTTGACGAGCTAGTGAACTTACCAAAGCATAAGAAACACACCCAAAAACTTGTAAATGACTTACATTTAGTCTTCTACAATACCAAGCTTCATAAGGAGTTTTATTCATAATAGTTTTTGTTGGTGAAAGATTCAGCAAGTAAACAGATGTTGCCACAACTTCTGCCTAGAACTTATTTGTGAGTTCCTTTGCTTGTAACATGCTCCTTTCCATCTCCACCACAATTCGATTCTTCCGTTCAGTGACACCATTTTGCTCCGGAGTATAAGGAGTTGTTAACTCCCTAAGGATGCCATGTTTTTCACAAAACAAATTGAATTCGTTGGACACGAACTCTCCTCCTCTATTTGTGTGAAAACATAGTGATATTGCAGCTACTTTGGTTCTCTACCAAAGCCTTAAACATCTGAAACTTTTCACAGGTTTCTGACTTGTTTTCTAGAAAATACACCCAACTCATGCGGCTATAATCATCAGTAAACAACAAGAAATAACGACTCCCACCTAAGGACTTAGTCTGCATAGGACCACATAAGTCGGCGTGTATTAGTTCTAAACATTAAGAAGCTCTCCATGCTTTTCCAACATAAAAATATTTCCTGGTTTGTTTTCCATAAATGCACCCTTCACATAAATCAAGAGAACTATTTTTTGGTAGTCCAAGAACCATACCTTTATCACCTAGCAATTTAGGGTCATTTATGTTGAGATGACCATATATACCTCAAATGCCACAACTTTGATTCATCCTTTGCACTTGCAGCAAGGGCAAAATTTTCAATATCAGATTCATCCAGCACCGTTTGGTGCTTGTTCACACAGGCTTCCGAGGTAGCTCAGCCGTTTCTTGTTCTGAATGAAAGTGAATACAGATGAAAAATCTTATTTAGCATCATGGTGATATGAACCGTTGGACTTCTTGTTTGTAACAACACAAGAATCATCATCATTGAACCAAAAAGAATATTCATTGGTCATTAGTTGCCCAACACTCAATAAATTATACCCTAAATTGGGTACAAATTGAACATTATATATCACGTATACTTTGTCTTTATTAGTGTTAATGCTCACCATGCCTTTTCCTTTAACCAGTAACTCTTTTGTATTGCCAAGATGCATTTTTTTCTTTTGCTTCTCGGCAAGCGCATGGAACAAAAATTTGACACCTATCATATGATTTGAACCACCACTGTCTACAAACCATAAATTACTTGGCTTATGGCATGTATTAGTGCAAGCCATAAAAAGATAATTCTCTTCCTCGTTTTCTGTTGCTGCAAAATTTATTTCCTGGTCTTTATACTAGCAATCAGCCCGTATATGTCTGTAGCGCTGGCAGTGATGACATTGAATGCCATTTTTTGTGTTACCTTGGTCGTTGGATTGCCTGTGTCCATCATTCCTTCCTCTTCCCCTTCCATAACCACGACCTCGACCACTGCAAAATCCTTTTTTTCCTCGACCTCTACTTTCTGGACCATTATTTTCCCCATATTTGGTGGTTGAATCTTTAACTTGGAATGTCTTCTCTTCATTCTTTTTTGTAGATCGATTAATTCTCGCCTCATGTGCTTGAAGAGATCTAATCAGCTCATCAAAGGAAAAAATAGATAGATCCTTGGACTCTTCTATTGCAGCAACTACGTGATCAAATTTTGGAGTTAGGCTTCGCAATATCTTTTTTGCAATGGTCTGATCAGTTACCTTCTCTCTGTAGGATCACATTTGATTGACAATATTTGTTGCTCTTGACTAAAAACCAACAATGGATTCTGCACTTTACATCATCAAGGTTTAAAAATCACTCTGAAGTGATTGCAGTCTCACAACAATGACCTTTGAATCTCCTTGAAACTCTTTCGAGAATCATCCAAGCTTATTTTGATGTGGTTGTTGGTGTTATCCGTGAAAAGGCACTATCATGAACAACATGTTGAATAAACATTAGTGCCTTCGCATATTTTGGCTTGTTGCCTCGCATTTTGTTTTCTTCGTCGGGATCTTCAAATCCACCTTCTACCAAATTTCAAAGATCTTGAGATTTGAGTATAGTTTTAATACGAATACTCCAAAATTCGTAGCTTTCTCCCATGAAGATGGGAATGAGTAGTTGTGCCGCACTCAATGCACTGTTGCTACTTGCCATGACTCTAATACCAAATTTGTTGGACTAAGAGTGCAGAGAAATCTGGAAAAAATAAAAGAGAGAAGGAAAGCTTGGAAAGCTGGATTGTTTTTAATTTTTGATTAATTGGGAGTACATAGAATAACAGAATATGCCCGCTTGATATATAGGCTAAGAAATAAACAACTAATTCTAAAATATAGGTCAGGTAACCCACTACAACACTTATCAATAACATTAATAAAACTTGAGTAAATATAGGAAACTACTAAACAAAGATCAAAAGACTAGTTCTACTAACTACCCAATGTCCCAATTCAGCCGATCGTTTTGAATCACTCTTTCATAAAAACATTGTATTTCACTCAACTCTTCTACATGACATCATAACACAAACATAGAACAAATGACTTCAAGTTCAGGAAAAAATATATCTGTAGTAACAAAGTTCAAAAATACGTTTATACAGACTCATGATGGTATTTCATCAAAAGATCAAAGAAATATTGGGAAACCAATAACCAAAGCTGCAGTCTGTATCTTAACTACCTAAACTTTTTTCATTGAAGCGGTAGCAAAATGCCCAACTGCATATCATGAGAAAGAGACTATGATCATATAAATGGGAATCTTTTGGTCCATAACTCAGAAAATCTAGTATCTAACACGATTTCATGGTCTCAGAAAAAGAATCTTTTGTTTCTATAATCAATGAATTCAGAATTACACGTTATAAAGGCAGCGTCTCGTGTATCACTATAACATGGAGCAAACGGTGTCACAAAAAAATAAATGAAAGAAAACATGTCATAACTTCATTTAGGAAGAAATCAAGCAAAACAGCTTGCCTATAGGTGATGTTTATCGTGATCAACTATTGTTCAGGTTAATTAATTAGCAAGGCGCTCCATAATTTCAAAGTTTTGTGGCAAAGAAAAAGCTCAGAAAAAGAAAAGTAGAAAACAAAAAGAAATACTTCGACAAACAGACTTTGGAACCAGGTTTGCTGTGCATTTCCACAAAAAATATGTCCTCCTCCTTGATCAGTCAAGCTATGACTACTGTGAGTTGGAATCATGTGTATTCCAACATCTAATTAACATAGCTTTTCCCAAGGAAGAAGCATGATCCATCCTCTATGCGCCAGCATAAATGCATGATATAGCTGCACATAATGCCAGAATGATTATGTTGTGACTCAAGCAATAGTTGTGCTACTTCATTTCCCAACTCAATAGCTCCATGAAGTCTACAAGCACCTATCAAAGCCCCCAAGACAGTAGCATCAGCTTCAAAAGGCATCTTCTTTATGTAGTTGTATGCTTCCTACAGTAGCCCAACTGTCCCTAATAGATCAACAACACAACCACAATGTTCCATTTTAGCTACAAGTCCGAACTCACGTGACATTGCTTCAAACAATTGAAAACCAAAATCAACAAGCTTGACACATACACAAGCGGATAGAACTGCCATGAAGGTAATCTCATTTGGTTGCAATGGTAAGGACTCCAATTGGGGACGAAACCAATTGAAATAAAATGCGGGATTAACCAACACTAAGGTAAGATAGATGAGAAATAATAGATGAAAAGGGAAGAAAGAAAGGCTAATTGAATAAACAATCAATCAAGGAGAAAGAAAAACTTGAATTCGAAGAGAAACAACACAAATTGAAAACCACAAATGAGCAATCTC